CACACACACACACACACACACACACTCTCACACACACACTCACACACTCACACACACATACACACACACACACACACACACACACACACACACACACACACACACACACACACACACTGCCCCTCCCTGCTCTCAGTACAGTTGAGGCCTCAGGGTGAACATTATCACATTATGTAATGGTTTTACCTGTTCGTGTGTCGACACGTTGCCGCTGCTGCTGCGTGACCTTTGACCTCACACTCCACACGTTTTACAGGTTTCCTGTTTCTATGGAAACAGTTGAGTTCTTGAGGTTTTAAGTTTTTCACTTCAGTCTCTGTTGCTCTGCTTCATCTGAACATTGAGACTCTGTCATTGTAGTCGACTGTTGATCTTTGTCTCCATCTGCTGGCGACTCTGTGACCCTGCACCTCTGTTGCTGTGATTAGTAACTAGAAAAATGGATTTAATGTCTCTAACATCACTGTTAATTTTCTTCTTTTTTTCTGGTAGCCATGGATACGGAGACGTCCCCCTCCCACCTGCAGACGAAGGCCTACGTCCGCCAGTTACAGGTGATCGACAACCAGAACCTGCTGTTCGACATGTCCTGCAAACTGGAGCCCAAAGACACATAAAGAGACGGACGGAGGGAGAGACAGAGGGACGGGATGGAGAGGAAGAGCAGGAGGACGATGAAGCGAAGGAGGTTCAGGTAGAAAGAGAGAGGAGGGAAACATGAGTCTCATACTGGACCTGGAAATCCAAAACCTCGTCCTCCTCTTCATCCTCGTCTACCTCCATCAAAAAAACAAATAACAACAAAGGAAACACTTCTCCTCCCTCTGTTTATTTTTCACTTCCTTTCGTTTTTTCTCTGTCCTCCTGTCTCAGCTCCTTCCTCCTCCTCGTCTTCCTCCCTCATCCCTCCTTCAGGAGGTCCAGTCCACAGCGCTGACACTAAAACACATGTGGAGGAGGTTTGTCAGACTCGACCAAAAACTCGTCACGTGGAAACACACGCTCAGAGTTTGTGGTTAAACCTTCAGCAGCAGGTCGCGTTCGCTCGGCGCTGAACGTCCATAAATGTCTGCGGCAAGCGTTCAGGAACCTCCCACCATGAAAGAGCAAAGACGTTGGGCTGTTACTCAGCAGCTTTAAACGTGTTTGAGAACCACAGCACAGGTCTGAGACACATCGCTGCTCCGGAGCTCTGACCTCTGACCTGGTTCATTTCCCCGAGGGCTCAGACACGACAAAGCTGAAACAGGACGTCACTGAAGAAGAAGAAGAAGAAGCGAAAACTCGTGATGCTGTTGGACGTTTAAGAACGATGGACTCTTCTGTTTTCGTCACGTTCTGTACATTCCCGCCCCCTTGTCCCTCCTCCTGTGGCGGCTGACCAATCAGACTAGAGACAATCTGACCACCTGAGTGACACCTGTTGACCTTTGAACCCCAAACAAAACAGCCCCCGCCCCCTGTGATTTATACAGCCATCTGAAATAGTACCGTATTGGTCCAAAGATAAGATACCATTCTTCATTATCGGTTTAGAGCTGCAACGACTAATCGATTTGTTGATTAACAGAAAATTAATTGGCAACTATTTTAAAAATCAACTTCTAGTTTCAGTCAAAAGTCAGTAAAAACTTCAGTGTTTCAGCTGCTTAAAGGTGAACATCTGTTGCGTGTTGCGTCGTAATGGTACAATGACTTTATCAGAGAAGACAAAGCGTTTGATGACGTTACCTCGGTCTTCAGCAAATTGTGAGATCTGCAGATTAATCAATAAATAAAAACAGTCATTAGTTGTGGTCCTCATGAGTCGTTAGAAGCCTTCAGGTTTCTTCTAGTCCATCTACAGAGTCTTTCAGAATCAGTGTGGGAGGAGTTCCCGACGGCTCATGAAATCAGCTCTGTATCACAGACAACTGGACACCACAATCAAAGATGGCCGCCCGTTCATTCCTATGAAAGAGGCGGTTGGCCTCCACATTCTTTAGGTTCACAGAGCCGAACCAGCTGACGTCAAACATTGACCGTCGTGGTGGGAAGCTCCAACAGACGAAAAGATGAGATGATCCGACAGTCTGACATCAGAGAGCGACGATGACACTGATCCACACGCTGCACATATGTGGGACTTAAGTTCTACGTTTGAGAAAAGGACGAATATCTCCGGGAAACTTTCCCCAACAGGTTCAGTCCGACAGAAGAGTTTCAGTTCTTCAGAAAGTCTTTTTCCAGAAGCAGGTGTTGGATAAAAGGGTGTCGTCTTATGTTTGGACCAATACAGTTCTTCTGCATTAAGCATCTCTATTAATCTGCGCAGAGACGGGTGAAATATAAGTCCACATCTCAACAACACATCGTACGGCCAACAGGCTGACTGGAAACCCTGGGACTGAACTGGACATATTAAAATCCCGCCGTACAAGGACGAGCAAAAAACACCATGTTAAGATCTACAAACAACAGACGGAGAGAAATGTTCCGACCTGAGGACGTCGCCGACAGACGAGCGATTCTCTCAGAGACGAATTCAAAGACAAAAATCTCTGCAGGAGATTTAGGAGTGAAACAAATCGTGACACTAAACCAGCTTCCGTGCAGCTGGAACTGACTGCACCACGTCTCAAACGCTGACGTCTGAATACGAGTTTACACCCGAGTCTCCGGCGCTCAGAAACCTGTGATCTGGATTTCATGAATATATTTTTCCATCAAATGACTGAACTCTTTTACAGAGGACCACGTTATGGATCTGTACCTGAACTCACAGTTCTGGTTGTGTCCATGGTTTACATCAGTGGTAAGGGCTGTTAGGCCGACCTCTGACCTCTGACCTCTGACCTCTGATCAGTGGTTTCTATCAGCTGCCATATTTCACACAGAGCAATCAGGAACTTGTTTCTATCTGAACCCTTCATATTCCTCCAGGATTTAACCTAAACAGTGATGGTGTGTTCACTGACAGTATCTGTGACGGACTTACGGACACTTGTCACGGTGCGTTCACAGACAGTCAGGACGCTGGACGAGAGTGTGTAGATGCTGGTTTTCTACCGAACGTTTCAGTCTGAAGACGTTGACAAACTCTTTTAGTTTCGGGGCTTTGATGATGAGCATTGTCATTAAACGTCTCTCACGGCGTTTTAATTCACAGCGTATTCACTTTAAAGGACCGCGCTGCTGTTTTCGTATGTTTTCACCCGTTCACGTCAAATCATGAACGCAGCGCTGAGAACGAATTCATTTCTAGAAAACTCAACTTGCATAACCTGTAAACCTACAGCCGGACTGATTACCACAAATCATAATCAATTCTTTTCTCATGAACCCAAAATATTCAGGAGAGATATAATTTTTTTTTTTTTTTATTGATAGTGCAGTAGAGAGACAGGAAATGGGGAGGCAGAGAGAGGGGGAATGACATGCAGTAAAGGCTGTCCGATGCGGGACTCGAACCGGGGCCGACTGCAGCGAGGACTGTGGCCTCTGCACATGGAGCGCCTGCTCAACCCACTGAGCTACTTGACGCCCCAAAAAAAAAAAAAAAGAATATAAAAAAAGTCCTTACGTTGAGAGAAATAAGTCAGGTTTTAGTATTTCAAAATAAAGCTGTAATGTTATGAAGAAGAAGCCATAGTAGTTGAAGAAAAAGAGTTTTCATTTTACTAAAAAAGTTGTAAGTAAATAAAAAGCTGCAGCTTTATGTGAAAAATCTTGATATTTCAAGGAAAAGGAAAAAGTTCACTTTAATAATTGGTCTTAGTATCTGAAACTGGGAGAGGATCACCTGAAGGTTTCCTCAGATTTATAGACTACTTGTTAAATTTGCCAGCTCACGCTAAACCAGTGGTTCCCAACCTGTGGGAGGGGGCCCACTGGTGGGCCGCGAAGGTATAGCAAGCGGGTCGATCATTTACAAAATGGTACGATTTTGGTGAAAAAAAGAAACATTTTAAAAACTCTTCTCGTTGTTTTTTAGTTTTTTTTCGTATTAATTCTTATCACTGTGATGATATAATTACAGGAACTTTTATGTTATTGCCAGCCGGACGTCTTTGTATGTACAGCTGGTTAGCAACAGGAAGAATTAAAAGGAAAGACACAAGAAGAGACAGATGGTGAATCTTCCTCTGTTTTCAGTTCATTCCTGAACGTTCGATCGTCACCATTAAAATAAAAAGTTCTCAGAGACATTATTTGTCCTCCATACTGTGATGAGGTCCGATGTGGGGCGCCAACATTTTTGAGATTTTCAAGTGGAACATGAGTTAGGAAAGGTTTGGAACCACTGGTCTAAACCTGAGAAGTTGGAGCAGATAAAAACGTAACATCCAGCTCTTAAGAAAAACAAAAACATGATAACATTTGTAGAGAAATGAAGTTGAAGTTACTGGTGAAGTTTCGTCTTCATTGACGAACTACAGCGTTTCTTTGAGCGGCAACTGTCCGTCAGTGAATCGCTCCATAAACCCTGAAGCTAAATCATTTAAAAAATAATCATGTGTTATTGTTGGAAAACAAACATCAGCTAATGGACACTTTTTATCATCAACCCGCTCTCGTAGTTTTCAGTAGATTCATGATTCAGTCGGTTTGTGCAAGTTGAGTCTTGAAATGTATGAAAACTGTTTGTCTGGAACATGTAAAAACGTGCGGTTTTGTTGGAGAAAATGGGTGAAAACATGCAAAAACAACAGCAGCCGAAAGTGATCATGAGCTGATCGAACTGATAATCACGTGACAGCCAATCAGCTGTTTACAGGACGACATCAGACCAGAGAGACAAACACAAACATCAACAGGAGAACTTAATTTTCTCAGCGATTGGGGATCGAACCGTCGTCACATCTGAACGACCAATCCTCTTCGAAGGACGGACCCGATCGGCCCCCCGCAGAGCCGCCCTGCCGTTGGTCAGTTCGACGTTATGGCGGGCGGAGGTCCGAGGCAATAACAGAGCGACAGGAAGTGAAGCTGGTTTGTCGACTTCTCGCATCAACGAAGCACTTTTGCCGAACCTCAGGGCTCAGAGACACAGAGAGGTTTTATTTACTCTTTATTCTCGGTTTTCAGTAGAGTTCAGTTCAGTTGAGTCCAGTTGTGTTGCGATCGATTGATTCTGTGTTTGTACAGCTGATCTCACTTCAGTCATATTTACTATAATAATAGAAATTTATAGAGTTGTTGTTTTTATGCTGTGATCTCCACCAGGCCTGAGTCCAGGTTCTCCACACTGAGACTTGATTTGAGTTTTTGAGCAACAGATCAAAAAGAAATAAAAGAAGAGAACTCCATCTCAAGTTGAAATAAGAGTTTCCTTATCACACCTGGGACAGAGACCTGCTTCATGAAGAACACAAGTGTGTGATTATTTGCACGTGATGAGAAGGTGCGAGGCAACTTAAAAAGTCATGATCCTCCATCAGTGCAACAACGTGACGTCACGTTTTGGTCACTCGTAGATCGCAGACATCTGATGAGTTCCAGGGCCGGTGTTTGGTTGGTGTCAGCTCAGGTCCCAGGTGTGCAGGAAAATTAAACTGTACAAAGGAAAAAGTTGAGTTTAGTGTTTTATTTCTTATGAATTCAACTTTTAACTTAGAAAATAAGTAGCTATACATTTACAGACTTAAGAAAATAAGATTTTAGGGCTCAGCTGAAGACAAAATGAAAAATGATGGAGGTTTCTTTTTTTTTTTGCAGAGCACTGAAGAGTTTCACTACAAGATTTTGTGTAAAAAAATAAATAAATAA